GAGGAGAAGAAGAAGAAGAAGAAGAAGAAGAAGAAGAAGAAGAAGAAGAAGAAGAAGAAGAAGAAAAAGAAGAAGAAGAAGAAGAAGAAAAATGATAATAACATTGTTTGTTGTTGTTGTTACTCGCCAACAAACACACACGCTCACTCTCTCTCTCCCTTTTCTATCTCTGCTCTTTCTCTCTCTTCCTTCCCCCTCTCTCTTTCTTTCTCTCTCTCTCTCTCTCTCTCTCTCTCTCTCTCTCTCTCTCTCTCTCTCTCTCTTTCTTTCTCCCTCCTCCACCCCAGAACAACCATACACACACAGACAGGCACACATTCACACATACACACACAGACGCAAACACAAGGAATAGTCATTAGATAGACTAACAAACTTATACTCGCACTCTTCTTCTTCTTCTTCTTCTTCCCCGTCATCCTCCTCCTCCTCCTGTTGCTGAAGATGCTATTACAAGATAGAAATACATTAGTCTAAATAGGGTGAGTAGGTGCGCTAACCCTTTACTGCCGGACTAGTGGCACGAGTAAGGGAGCAGCTGTAGGAGTAAAAGTGGATTCCTCAGTTGTATAAATCTCAGTTGACAGGAACAGAAGTTTATTAAATTTGATACGTTTTTAAAGTAATTGTTTTTTGATTGTTCATTTGTTTCTAGAAGTTCAGAAACATCATTTTCCCGTCTCAAACAGACAGCCCATTTACCACTAAGATATCACTTACGTTACTGATAGTGAGCAGGCGTCAACTCTTCACAACCCCATACTCCCTTTTTCCTCCTCAGGTACTCGACCCTCGTGAATTCAACTTTGCAAAATTATATTCCCTCATTTCTGGGATAACTCAAATGATAGGTATAGGAACATGTACACTTATAGGACCAACAGTATAGGAAATGCTGACTAGATATATGTATATTATGTATCGCTTAGGTTGCCTTGTATGATCAAAGGAAATGCCTAAAGCTACGGCACAAAAAGTAGTTTTTGTGGGAAAAAGTAGACTAGACGTGTTGTATTAACTCTGAGGTTGTCTTATATCATATTCAAATGCATAAAGCTTTGGTACAAAAAGTAGTCAAATGTGTTTAATCTCAAGAGATGTGATATTATAATATATGCAAGATGGAAATGGGGCCGGGGGGGGGGGGGGGGGGTAAGTAATGCAATGGGTGGAATGTCAGGAGTTATTACAAATGTAGGTTTCGGAGTAGACTCCAAATTAAATGGTGGTGATTAGGGTTGGAAATGGTCTTCAACATTAAACATTCCCAGTTTTAAAATTGTCTTTAATTAAAAATCAAGATTCATGTAACGCAGGAATGCGCTTCTAAATAATCTCAGGCCTGCTGTATAGTCTGACCAAAGGGCGCGAGGATTGACGGGGTTAAACTTACCCCGCATAAATATCAAAACCAACGTGGCAGCTTAGACGAAACGTTGACATAGATTTTTTGTAGTCACTATCAATCTTTCAATTGTGTCACACGAGTTGGAATCGGGCGCTCGTAATTGTTTTGGGCATATATTGGTAACAAGTTAAAGCTTTTTCACTAAGACTTGTCTTGCTTTTGGTGAAAAATACCCATCTACCTTTAAAAGAAGTGGAGATATTTGCAATTGAAGGAGGTGGGGGCCACCTGGTTTCGAAAGTACAATTCGCAAGCTGCAGTGTCCTGGGGAACTACAAATTTACACTTTTGGGCTTTTGATCAACGATTGTCCAGTAAAATTCACATAGAAATGCGTCTTTAAAATGGCATAAAAGGTGCAAGGACAAACTGAAAAGAATTGCTGAACGTTCAGTAAAATGTCTGTTTATTTGATTTTTATTATTTTACTATCTCTATTTTTGCCTAAGCTCGCTGACAGTGAACATGGGCACTTGGCTGCATTGCCCCTTCGTGGGTCTGTGAAACCTGCACAGCTTTCGTAATTTCAGTCTGTGAAGCTCGGAGCTTGTTCAAATGATATATCTACGTGCAAAGCTGTTGTAGCTATAACAGCATCTGCTGCTGCCGGACAGCTGGTGGGTCAATGAATCTGTTATTTATAGGTAGCCAAATTTTTTCCGCTGTCACTGAAAATAACGCTCTAACACACTCTTACGAACACAAACACACACACACACACACACACACACACACACACACACACATACACACACACACACATACTCAAATACACACATTCACACACAAACACACAAACACTATCTCACATACTGACACTCTCACAAACGCGCCCGCGCAAACACACTCACACCTTC